GGATAGGGATGGAGGGAGAGAGAGAAAGAAAAGGGGGTGAGGGTGGTCAGAGAGGGGTGGGAGGGGAGTGTGGGCATGGAGGGGTGTGTGGGGATTGGGCGGGAGGATGGTCGTGGAGATCGGGGCTTATAGTATGTTAAGGGGTTGGGGTGGAGCTTAAGGTGCCAACGCCATGGGCAGGGACAGGTCCTACCAGAGGTTGGTCAAGGCTTGATCCAACCTGGAATGATCACTCAGGGTTGGGGTATGGCGACCTGTGCCAGTGTCTTACCATCCTCACAGATATTCCTTGCCAGTGTCCCATCTAACCCTGCCCTTGTCCTGTCCCTCCATCCCTTGTCCCAAGTTCCTCTCCAGCACTCTTAGAGCTCCTTTAGGCACTGGAAGAGGCTCTAAAGTCTCCCCAGAGTCTTTCCGTCTCCAGACTGGACACCCCCAGCTCTCCCAGCTTCAGAGCAGAGAGGCTTTAGAATCCTGGGTTTTACACTAAGGATCACCCAGTCTCACCCCCTGCCATGGGCAGGGACACCTTCCCCTATCCCAGGTTGCTCCAAGCCCCATCCAACCCGGCCTGGAACACTCCCAGGTGTTCAAGGGCAGGTGAGGCTTTCCCTGATGGGGGTGGCAGTGTCGGGGCTGTGGTGGGAGCTGATCCCAGGCTGTGCTGGGAACCAGTTCCTGGCTGTTCAGGGATCTAACACCAGGCTGTGCTGCAGGGCAGGTGCTGGCACTGGCACTGGTGGCAGTGCTGTGGGGCTCCAGCAGCCCCTTCCTGCGGGCAGGAGCAGCAGGACTGGAGGATGTGAGGGGCCAGGGTCGCCTGCAGCAGCTGCTGGCAGAGATCCGCTTCCTCTGCCTCAACTACAAGGTGAGACACCGAGACAGGACATGGCAGGGGGGCAAATTCCCTCTGGGGTCACTCATCCCTCCTTACTCTGTCCCTGCTGCCTTTACTCAAAGTGTTAAATATCCCTCCAGTCATCCCAATTCTTCATCCTCAGCAGTGTTTAATGTCATTGCCTGTAGTTCTGCCCTTCCTGTCATGCCCTTCATCCTCATATTTTGCATGAAATGAGCTCTGACTGGTACCAGAATCACCCAGGTGTCACATTTGTGCTGCCAAACTCAGCACAGGGTGAACAGCTCTGTCTGAGCTCCTTCACGGGGAGCAGAGTGGGTTTGCAGCAGCAGCAGCTGAGAGGTTTGTGTTCTCCCTGCAGTACATGGTGCCCTTTCTGCTCAATCAAGGTGGATCTCTCCTCTTCTACCTCACCTTGGCATCCACAGGTCAGTTCTTATTGCTCCTTTGGAGTGAGTTGATTGGGATTTGGGCAGGATCAGTGCTGTTGATGACTGTAGTGACTGAGCTAAGCTCCAAACCTTGTCACAATCACAAAAAAACCAAGATTCTCCCTTTAAAATTGTGTTAAAACTTCCATTTCAGACCTGTCCCTGGCAGTGCCTCTTTGTAACTCTCTGGCTTTGATAGTGACACTGGTGACTGGGAAGATCCTAGGGGAAGACATTGGTGGTAAAAGTAAGTCACACTTTAATCATTTCCTCATGTTCCTCAGCATTTATTTGCTGATTTCTAGTGTGGAATCCTCTCTGGGCCCCTGAAAACAGCAACTCCCCCACAAGACTTCAGCTGGTTCAGTAATAGCTCTTCTTGCAGGACCTGAAAGGGAAGTGAAACAGATTTGTGGGCAGAGCTGGTAAATTTAAAGACAAAACTGACCGTTCTAAGCTAAATGACCTGACCTTTTACCTAACTAGGTAACTAACCCTAAAAGAAGCACTAAACAACATGCCCACATGGAAAAGGAGTGCCCAAATCTCAACCCTCATCCTTCTTTCCTTCCCTGGTGGCCTACACTGACATTGCCCTGCTTAGAAAGTCAGGAAAAGCAGGAAAATGGAAAGTTTAAGACTCCAGGATCTGGAACAAGAGCTATAGGAACACACAGAGGAGTTCTGCTGTAGTTTAAACCTAGTTTTCACTAGCAAACATATAACAGATGTACCATTTCTTTAGAAACTCAGTGTGCAGAGACAGTCTGGACATCCAAACCTCTCCAGAAGTCACTTGTGCAGGCTGTAAATCCCCAGGCATTTATGCTTCCCCATCCCATGACACGCGTGGTGAGAAGCTCTGACTGACTGCAGAGAATCACAGACTGGTTTGGGTTGAATGAGACCTTCAGGACCACCTCATTCCAACCCCAACATGCTGATTCTCTGGAACAGCTCCCCACTATATCCCTGTCCATCTCCCTAGGGGCTGTGGCAGGAAAGGAATGCTGCTCACTGCTGGGGGAGTCATGCTGTGTGTAGCTGCTTCATGAACAGGACACAGCAAGAAGCAGAGGAAGGGAACCTGATGAGAGGTAACCCCCATGGCTGGGGGGAGCTCCTGGCTCAGCAGCAGAGCCTCTGGCTCAGTTACACCTGGGAAAAGTTATATTTTGACACACAGATGTCAAAATCCATGGACTAAACTCCCTGGGAACCAGGATGGGACAAGGCACCTCATTAAGGGAAGTTTTTTTTGTGGGTGTTTCAAGACAAGAATGATTAACTTGTCTTGTTCAGCACTGGAGGGTAATAAATTGTTAATAAATCGCTCAACAGGACCTCTGGGACTGATTGGGTTTTGATTAGAAGGAATATTTTTAGGATCTCCCCTTTCCTGTGGCCAAGAAGAACCAGGAATCTTTTCTTGTGGCCAAGCATGTGTTAAGTGGCTTCCTCCACTGTCCCAGGTCACACTGCACAGCCTCTGACAGAGATTACTCCAGGGTTTTCTTAGAGCCTCTCATCTGCCAAACAGCCCAGTGTCCCTGAGGAAGGAAGGGTGGGATTCCTCATCAGTCCCAAACCCCAGATGGATCACAGAAAGGAAAAATCAGTGTCAGCCTTGTGATTAATCAGAAGCACTGAAACGAGACAGCCTTGGCAAGAGGAGGTGATCCAGGAGCTGTTCATTACTCTGCCTTCTCCTCACCCAGGAGTTAAAGGTGCTCCTAAGGCAGAAATAAAATGTGAATAGAGTTGGGAGCAGGAGGAAGTTGTGGGCTGGCCTGGAGGCCACAGCAAACACCTGCAGAGCACCTTTGTGCTTGAGAAGCAGCAGCCACAGGGCTCTAATCCTCACACACCAGGGACAAGAGGCTGTGCCACTGCCCCAACCAGGCTCTGAGCAGTGCTTGTGTATCAGCATCTTCAAGGCAGCAGCTCATGTCCCTCCACACAGGAGCTGTGACCTCCTTGTCATCACTTTTCACCTGCCTGGGAAGTGCCAAGGGCTGGAAAAACACCCTCACACACTATTTTCTGCACTGAGCACCTTCCAGGGGGTCAAAACAAATGGATCAACTTGGCTCTGGTGAGGCAGGAAGGCAGACAGGAACAGAGATGAGCATCAGGAAAGCTTTTTATTCACAAACAAGTGGGGATCAGTCAGGAACAGAAGGATTTACCTGCCCCAGTGACAGGTGAGGCAACAGGAATGCAGAGTTTGCACAGGGGTCACCACAGCACCACGTGGAAAGAAAGTCCCTTTGTGAGGGATCTGGAGTGTCCCTGAGGTAGAGCAATGCAAAAAGCACCAAACCCCTTCCCTGCTCCAGGGGACTCTGCCACAGCCAGAGGTGTGTGAGTAGGGAACTGAGCTTATCCCAAGGGTCAGGGGTGATGTGCCACCACTCCTCACCTGCTCAGCACAGTCAGGAACCTCCTCCCAACTCAGCACTTCAACCAGGTGTTCCCCAAAAGCCACCAGGAACACTTGGAGCCATCCCAGACACAGCTCAGACACCCACACAGGTTGGTCCTACAGGTCCAAAGCACTTCAGGCATTTCAGTTCCACCACAGCAGCTGCTCCAAAGCACCTTCTGCCTGTGACAGCCTTCCCAGCCTTGGTTTTCCCCTGGGATTCTCCAGCTCAGCCAAGAGAAATAAGGTTCTTGTGGGAGGAGCCTCATTAGGATCTCTCCAGGACACACCACAACCTCCCTGACCTCACAGTGTTTAACCCCTGACCAAATATTGGCATTTAAAGGGAGTAAAAGGCTTTCTTGGCACATATTTTTGAAGTGAGAACCATCAACCCACAGAGCTGGAGGTCCCCTCAGTTGCTGCTGCTGCCCATGAGGTCATGTCACAGCTGGTGCTGCAGCTCCACAGTCTCTCCACACCAATCCAAGTGCTCAGGATTGCCTTCCCTCAGGAATGCCCAGTTTATGTTTCAGCATCAGGAACTGCAAGAGAAAGAAACCCAAGAGCACTGGTGATTAAAGCTCAGAGACTCCCAGGCAGGAAGATCCATCCCTGCTGATTAAATCCCTTCAACATCCAGTCCAGGCCTGGATACCCAAACCATTCCCACCCAGCCCAGCCCCTGTACACTCTGGGATGGTCCAACCACTGCTTGGGGAGAAGTAGGATGAGGCCCTCACGTTTTTACGACTGGCAATAGCTTGTTGCAGCCACATGAGCTCCATGAGGAGGTGATTCCTGTAGGATTGGAGCCCAGAGCGAGTCTGGGGAAGGTCCTGGGTGTCCTCCAGGGGAATTCCTGCAAGGAATGGAAGAAAAATCCATTACTGGGACAAAGATGCAGATTGGGTGAGTTGTTCTCATCTATCCAAGATATTCTCAAGGCTCTGGTTTTCTCCACAGCCTCCTCTTACCCAGCTGTGCCTCAAGGGACTCTGCCCCCAGGTCACTGCTGTCCCACACAGAGGACACACTGCTGTCATCCTGCCACTCCTCACTCCCTTCTGGGGCCCTGTACCCCTTTTCTGTGCCTTTAGCACCACCAGCTCTGAGATTGGGGGGGCTCAGGTCTGTCCTGTTGTGCCTCTGGGCTGAAGGAGTCACATTGCTGCAGCCTCTGTCCTGCTGCAGCTCCGAGGGGTTTGGTTCCTCCTGGGGGATTTGGGGGTTTGGCTTCTCCTGGAGAGTTTGAGGGTTTGGCTTCTTCTCAGGGGTTTGGGGGTTTGGCTCCTCCTGGACAGTTTGGGTGTTGGCCTTGTCGCTCCCTGCAGCCTCCTGTGGGTCCAAGGGCTTCCCTGGTGTGACCTGCCAAAGGAACAACACATCAGGGTTGAAAGGGAAGGAAAACAGAGGAAAATGCAAAGATGTGACCTGTGGCTCTGGTGCTGTTAGCAGCACCTCCTGCCCTGACACCACTGTGCTCTGCTTTGAGCCATGACAAACTTGTTGAAGGACCAGGTGAGGTGTGACCCAGGGACAAATCCCACAGCAATCACCTGTGCAGGTGAAACTTCACCCGGAGGCACAAACTCCCAGTGGGGACCCAGTGCACAGGTCAGGGCAGTGCCACAGGGCTACGAAACGACCATTTTTAGTCTGGAAAAATTCCAGACTCC